ATATATACATACATAAATATGTATATAGGTGTAATGGCACCTACATATGTGCAAAAGTTGGTGCGCGGTTCAAATGCGTATACAGTTGCTTTGTGTGGTTGGGGCGGCTCCGTTTGTGGTGTTGTATATTATTTAAGGAAATTACCCTCTCAGGCGGCTTTTCTCATCCTGTTAATAATTTAACTTTACTTTTTGCACCTTAAAGCGATAAGAAAATCGCTGGTTGTTCTATATGTATGTATGTCCTTATAAATTGTATAAATAATACATATCGTCACTACACAGGAATAAAGGCACGCTAGAGTTTTGACGGCGAAAAAAAGACGCATAAAAAATCGTACGAAAAAAGACGTATATGCATGGACGTACTTGAAAATTTGATTAAATATTAACGATTTCGTAAATAACTCACTCAGTTTTGAAGTTATTGTTTTACTAAAATTTTGCACATAACTGTATTTATTATCTATATATAAATACGCCTCAAGAAAATTTTGCAATCCCTTTTTTGAATTCCAATGAAACATACACCGATTTAAAGGATACAACTTCCTATAATTCAGAAATGATAATCCCGATACATAGGGGGTGTGGCATCTGACATATAGACTAAAATGTGAAAACCACTATATCTCCAGAACCAATTATGCTGGGGACCTGAAACTTCGCACAGATGCATAGATTGTAAATACCCTACATACGGTGAAATATGGTAGGTTCTGGAAAAGTGGGTGTGGCACTTATGGTAAAGGGAGCATGGCACCGCCCCATAAAAACTGAAATTCTAATATCGCTTATCTCTGGAACCGCTTATGCTAACGTCCTGAAATTTGACACAGCTGCATATGGTATCGAACCCGGAAAGTGTTCTCTGCAAAATATGTTTGGCAACACAGAAAGGAGATTTCGAATTAGTTAGGGTTATAATCCCTAAGCGGGGCCGAACTTATAGCGAAAAGTCATGTGTATTCGAAAGGGGGATGAGGAACCTCGCACACAAACTGCAATTCCCATATCGCTTATATCTGGAACCACTTATGATAAGATAAGATACGCCTACATCTATATACATATAAAAATGGTGTTTAAAAAAGTGTGTTTTCTTCCGTTATTTGGCGCAGGGATTGAGAGTAGTGATGGGCATGGGACTAAATATTAAGTTCCAATCCCGCCCATCCCGCAGTTTTTCGGTATAGATCTGCGGGCCCGGGGTCCCAAAATCAATCTCTAAAAAATTCGCATGTCTTTCAAATTAATTTTGAATAAAAAATTTTATGAAAGATCTGGCATCCCCCGATTATTTTGTTTTGCTTTGCTGTTCGTTTTCGTCTCAAGAAATTATAAAAAGTGCATGTTTCATACACAATTTTTAAGGAAGGTTTTCTGAATTTCCGGAGGATGTGGTTTTACTGGGAGTGTCGGGAAAGAGTTTGGTTCCGTCCCGCCCGCAAGGTTTTCACAGAACTTACCGATACCGCCCATCCCGGCCATTTCGAAATCAGTACCGCGGGTGCCGCCGACCCCGATAACCCGCGCCCATCTCTAACCCTTTCCCTGCATTTGTACAATATAATGTACATTTATTTTTTTGTAACTTGGAAGCGTGCTACTACAAACCTTATTAATATTTTTGAAAACAAATGAAACTTTATGTATATTTCAAAATCGAGAATGTTTCAAAAATATTTTTAGAATTTAATTTAAAAATATACCATTTTATTAAATTCCAGTGACACGCAAGTTGTGGTCATTTACTATACAAAAACAAGTAAGAGCAGCGCTGTCTTCGGCTATGCCGAAGGCTTCATACCTTTCATGAACATCTGCAAATTTTACTTTGACAGATTACTACTTTTGAATACATCTGCATACATCGATAGAGGAGTTACATACTTATATAAAAAATCGCATCTAAACAATCAGAGGTATAGAAGATATACTTTATATAGCACCAATCTAAGTGATTTTCACCGCTATGTGATCGGTATGTAAACCGGTAACACAATTTATTGGGTTTAGTTTCGTACATAAAGGAGATATATGGCAAAAACTGGTATCTTAACAATCAGTGCTATAGGAGATAAAGCTTATACAGCATAGATTTTGACGATTTTCTCAGTAGACTTTGTATTATTATTTATAAAATATCTTACGAAATTTATCGGTTTTAGCTGTTCAAATAAAGGAGTTTTACATTAAAATCCCATATCTGAACAATCAGATGTATGGAAGATATATGTTGTAGTCATCCGATCCTTGTTATTTTCACTGTAAGTATTCTGTTAATAATGAGTGAAAATGGTGCGAAATTTCATGTTCCTAGCTGCATAAATGGAGGAGTTATGATAAAAGACCTCATATCTGAACAATCAGTTGTATGGGGGCTGCAGGTTATAGTGACCCGATCTTTGTTATTTTCGCTGTAAGTCTTCTGTTGATAATGAGTGAAAACAGCGCGAAATTTCATGGTCCTAGCTACATAAATGGAGGAATTATAACGAAAAATCTCATATCTGAACAATCAGTTGTATGGGAGCTATAGGTTATAGTTACCCGATCTTTATAATTTTCACTGCAAGTTTTCTGTTGATAATTATTGAAAACAGTGCGGAATTTCATGTTCCTAGCTATATAAATGGAGGAGTTATAACGCAAAATTTTATATCTGAACAATCAGTTGTATGGGAGCTATAGGTTATAGTGACCCGATCTTTGTAATTTTCACTGTAAGTATTCTGTTGATAATGGGTGCCAGAATTGCAAAATTTCATGTTCGTAGCTGCATAAATGGAGAAGTTATAATGAAAAATCTCATATCTGAACAATCAGTTGTATGGGTGCTATATGTTATAGTGGTCCGATTCTTCCAGTTCCGACAAATGATTAATACATTATAAAAATACACCCACCTACCAAATTTGATCCGGATATCTCGAAAACTGAGAGACTAGATTGCATACAAACAGACAGACGGACAGACGGACAGACGGACATGGCTAAATCAACTCAGCTCGTTCTGATCATATAAGTATACATTTTCATGGGTCTATCTCTTTTTGTTCTGGTACTTACAAACATCGGACCAAAGTTATAATACCATTTCATGCTCATGAAAGGTATAAAAAAAGTGAAAGTCAAGTAAAATCGCTAATAAAAGCACATAGTATGAAAATATATGAAGCATTTCATCATATAAAAATGCTAGAATTAAACTATCATGATTTATGATTTATTTATGCACAATATATTGTACATTTACACTGAGAGGTTGTAAGTGTCTGTACAATATATTGTACAAACGTCCGCAAAGTTTGCAGTTGAACAGGCGAATAGGGTGGGGTTTGCCGTGGTTTTTAAAGAGCTCGTGCGCTATTGTTGCAGTAAAGGGTAGGTTTTTGATTTCTTGATCTACTGAAGGCAGAAAACCGGGAAGGTAATTGTATCCGAAATTTTTCAAAATGTCTTTGTAAAATTCTCTTCTCATGTAGAAAATTTAAAGATTTTTAATGCAAATCTTAACTAAATATACTTAACAAGATATAAAATATTCATCCCAACATATCTGCAGTAAAATTAATTATTTTGTGCATACATAAGTTAATTTTCAATGAAATAAAAGTTTTGTTCCGTCAATCTTAGTGAAATATTTATTAAGTTTTCTTGAGTGCTTTTAATCCTTTGCCGGCTTTTGTACAATATATTGCACAAATTTGAGGTAGCCCTAATAGCTACCCAAAACAACTTTTGATTTTTTTTTTTACTTTTGATATTATGAGGCTCTATGAACCTTGTAATTAAGAGGAAAAAATTTTATATGTATCAGGGACGGATTTGACGGGAAAGGGCTAATTGAAAGCTATCCGTAAAAGCTCACATTTGCTTCATCTTTCGAAAAAATAATCGCAACACAAAATTCCATGCATCTTGGTAGCCCAATCGTGTGATGCAAACATATAATTAATATATAATTTTGAAAAAAGCCGTGTAAAAATGCCGTTAGGAAAATAAATATTAAATTTTGTTTTACACCTTCGAGGTACTTAAACTTCACCGACTCTGATGAAAAGAAAGGGGTCATAAATGTTGGCAATTTAGTTTTAGTCCGAAGAGCTCTCAGACCAATATAATCGCAAAACGTATTTACAGCCTGAATGGGTATTTTTTAAACATAATAGTCAGTAAGGAGCTGTTAGGAATCTGATCTATACATAAAAACACATACGCATATTTGTCATAAAAAAATCTGAGGTTCCTTTCTCGGTCTAATTTCGACAGCTACGGAAGAAATTTGGCTTTAAATTAGGTACAAATTTTGGTGGTGGACTTCAAAATCGTCATTCGCATAAAGGAGTCTATACTGGTGATAAGCAAAATTTAAAAGTGTATGAAAAGTAATCGAATTTCGACAACTTGGCGATACTAGTTACCTTAATTATTCCTTAAAATTATCGAAATAGGTTCACTTTATCATATAGCTCCAATACAACTGATTACTCAGATATGTGTTTCTGCGCTATAACTCTAAATTCATATCTGAATAATAAATTGTTTGCATGCTATATGTTAAAGGGAACCCATACTAAATTTTTACCTGCTTAATTGGAGGAGTTATAACGCAAAAACCGTCTCTGAACAATCAGTTGTATGGGTGCTAGACGTTGTAGTGAACCGATTTCGATGATTTTAAGAGATAGTGAAACGTGTGCACAATTTTAGTAAAATACCTTCAATACTGAGGGAGTTTTTTTTTAATTTTTCAAATTTAAGCAAAGTTTCAAGTACTGCTATCTCGAAAAGTGAAGCCAATCGGGCTAAACTGGGGACGCCATTGAATTTATAAGGTTCCAAATAAGTAGGAGCAACTATGAGAACCCTTGTCACTTTTTCTAACAATTTATTTACCTAAACATAAATAAGTAAGCACTTCTTTATTAAGCGTTTTTAAAAAATGAAGTCCCGGGAGCTTTTTTACTTAAGTACTTAGTATTTACTAAAAGCAATTAAATTTTTTCATCCGCTAGTATATTTATAATATAGTTAAATAATAATTTGTTTGCAAAAAACCAACAATAACACAGATAATTAGTGTGAAATACTAATATTTAACAGTCTAATAACCGCTTAATGAGATTTAAGGAGCAAACTTTGTTTGATTGAGATGCACATCTTCGCCAGGCTGGGGCTTTTCTACTTTTGGAGGCGCCTTAGGTAAGCTAAAGAATTTCTGCGAATAAAATAAAAAATTTACGAAAAAGTATTAGTGGAATATATATTTTTTTTCGTAATTTTCAAGCTCAATAAAATTAAAAAGTATGATACTGAAAATATGTTTCTATTCTATTTCTAAAAACCTGAACTTCATTAGGTCAACAAATTCTCTTTTTGATGCTAACCTTTCTACTTTCCGTGAATTTGTGGATCTTGGAGTGATGTTTGACTCGGGGTTTGCCTATGTCAATAACATTAACTAAATATATTATCATTAAAACCTACTCTAATCTAGCCTTCCTTTGCCGCAATGGAAGGAACTCTAATGATCCGTATACCCGAATAATTTTATTTAATTCTTTAGTACGATCTAAATTGGAATATGCTCCTTTAAGCTGGAATCTGATCTATTCAACTTATTCCTATAGAATTGAAAAAGAGCAGCAGATTTTTATTCGTTTTGCTCTCAAACCACTTAATTTTCCTGTTCCTTTGTCACCCTATAGTGCCCGCTGTACATATGTTAATAGGGATGATGTCACTTCAATCGAGAAGAACCATTCATTTGCTGATGTTTATTTATGACACTGATGGGCACTGCCTTGCCTGCGGGCAAAGCTCTTTTAAGCTTTCTATACATTTTGTATAGGCGTGAGCAGAGTAAAAGCTCTCTCTGCCCAACGCTGATTTATGTTATCATTGCTGGTCTCTTTGATTGCCCGGAGCTACTTGAGCTGATAAGCTTAAACGTTCCGCGATGAACAATACGCTTTCAGTATCCATTTTATATCAAACTAATTAAAGCTAGTTACCATTGACCCCATTTGATTCAATTCAATCGAATATTTAATAGCCTTGTTCTAGATATTGCACTCCCGAGATCTTGTTTTGGCTCATTGATTGAATCGTTATATTCTTAGTCATACGTTTTTAGTTAGTTCAAACTTGTTAATCCAGTCTGTAGGTTTATATAATCATAGACTCAATAAATGAAATGAAGTAAAAGAGGTTGAAATAGCTGACTTACATCGTGTTTTCCGAAATGTCTCGCCTCTTCCAATGTGTCGGGCAATTTTTTATGTAGCGTCTCAGGCAGGAATAATGCTGCCATTCCTCCGACAAGGAACAATGTGGCAAGAATATAGTATGGCGCACGAATGTTGATAGTAGTGCCCAAATAAACGAGGTAGGGTGCAATAATACCGACAGCATTCGCTAGAATCGCCCCCAGCGCGATGCCCGTCTGCCGCATGCAGGTGGGGTAGATTTCCATACTTTGCAGATTGACTGTGAAGAAGGTGAGTGCGTTTAGAAACTTGATGAAGGTAGCCAGATATACAATGACCTTCTCATATTTGATATCTGAAAATTAAAACAGTACCTGTAGCGAAATTTCAACGCAAAAGAAAAGAGGGCGTTAGGATATTCATACCTGCGGCCAATAAAATTAACGGTACAGAAGCGCAAAACGACACAAGGAAAGACATGCTGTTTGTAAAACGCCTACCATATGTATCACCTAAACCAAAGAAGGGAAAATTAATTTGAGAAGTAAGAAATTTTTTTTTTTGGTGGAGGTTGGTACTTGCCCAAATATCTGCCCACTATGTAGGCGGGTATTTCGACCACGCTTTGTAGAAGAAAATTCAGGAACGGATTGCCGCCCATACGTGTACTGAACAAAAGGAGAGTAAAGTAAGACACCGCCACTACACACCTTAAAGAAAATAATTATATAAATATATTTAAAGCGTTCTTCAGCATAAATATCCTGTGACCCATTTCGCGTGGGAAATATGCAATTGTGCGAAAAAAGTACAGATGACCTACCAACTGAAGCCCATTATGGCGGTATTCCGTGTCAGATGCCAACCGCTGAAAAGAGACGCCATACCGTATGTCACCTCTTCCTCTTCTCTATTGGCATATATCTGTACCAGCTCCTTCTCGGTCAGGTCGAATTGGCGGCCATTAATTTTTGCAATTTTCTTAAATTGCGTGATCGCTTCACCGTAACGTTGTTTGCTAATCAACCAACGTGGCGACTCAATGATGTATCTGCGGAGAATTAATTTGCAAAAACAACTATTACTATCAAATCGAAGATTTAAAAAAATACAAAAGAAAAAATAAAACTGAGCAAAAACATGCACAATCTATCGAAGAAAAGCACAGTGCCGGTATAGCCATAGAACTCATATCAGTTCTATCAGTCTAGTGGGTAGACAAGTGCATTTAGAAACGGACGGAGACGGGTAGCGAGCCAAGAAATCGTGCATAGTCGAAATGGCGCCACGTAACAGCGGCAGCACGTGAAATTGAAACAATTGAATGAGTTTGATTGGATCCTGGATGGTGTTCGTCGGTTATGTGATGTGATGTGATACGCTCGATTGAAATTCACGGACGAAATCGATTTGAAAATGTACAAATGGACAGTTGTACTGACAAACTGTTGCAGAAATGGACCGTCTGCTACAAATAGAATAGTTGAATAGACTGAATGCGCGAGTAGATGCTGGTGCTACGTCTCCTGCAGCGGCCAGTTTTTCTTTATTGCCTCTACATGCACTTATGTATATGTAGATATACGTATACATATACATATGTATAAGAACCCAATCAATACGAAGGTTTTGATGCTGTGCGTCACGTCGTATGAGCAACTTCCCTTTATCTGCAGATAAACTCCGCACAATGTGGCACTGTGCTAGTGGCGCTCAAATTCCTTGTTTCTGCACTCATCGTACATCTATCGGATTTAATGTGTATACGTACTTGTAGAAAATTAAAACTAGTGCCGTCGGTATCGTTGTGATCCACATAAAGGCAGCCCAATCACGTAGCCACCAAAAAAGCAACGGCATAAATGTTGTTCCAATTGACCACCCAATGCTCTGGTAAATCGCAATAGCGCTACGGTCCTGCCTGTGAAATAAAAGAGTAAGAAAGTATGCACAACAATATGTTCATATATGCTGCATATACATATGTAGTATATCAAAGTATGTACATATTAGAGGGCTGCATGAATGCATTCAAAACGGCTTTTGAATTATTCATATACAAAACGAATGAATGATTTTGGCTTACAATTTTTTTGAATTTGAGTGAATAGCTGTTCTGATATTTGTTTTGAAATTACAATATTCAAACAAAGTGAAGATAAATTGAATTGAAATAAATGAACATTTTTTGTATGAATATCCAAAAATATTTTTTCTATGCACATATGTACAAACATACATATGTATGTATGTATGTATTACTGCCATATATATAATACTCCTATATTGGCAGTACGAGCTAGTACCGTCCGAAAACACTACAGTACAGATATATCAATAAACACGTACGAAAGAAAAGGAACACTTACGTTTATAAATAAACATGTACACAACACATATACAAAAACGGCATCGAAGTACACAATACATTGACAAAAACGGTACTAGACTGTCTCGCTTTGATTTCGGAATGCTAACACATTGAGAAGTAGCTTACTGCCAATATAGAATTATGACATATATGATTGCTGCGCTTCTTTTACATACGAAAAAACTTGTTTGTAGAAAAAAACTTTTACCGAAATGAGTTTGAATGATTTGAATGTTTTCCACTCATTCATTCACATTCTTCTATTTGAAGGTAGAAAATATAAAACAAAATGTATGTTCATAACTTACAAAATTCCAAACGCTAAGTGTTTTGTATGTGAAGTAAAATATTCAAATCTACTGTACTCTGTTTGGCTAGAAGTTTGAATAAATTCATGCAGCCCTCTAGTACATATACAGTATATTTTGCTTTGCTGCCTCTATGCTTAAGTGCACATTTAAGATACCTACCCCAAAATGCGCATCAAAAGCATTATTTTTAACATTTATAAGGAAACTGCTCCGATAGATGCATTCAACATACCTGCACATTGGCGACACCTGCCTTAAAAATTGTGTGACTAGTATCAATTATCAATGAAAGTATTACGTTTACCTGCACTGGCCCTACAATTACCTAATTTTACAACCTTTTATTTATTTTGCTCATCTCGCAGAACAACGAAAATGGCTATCAACTTATGTAGTTATATAGATAATTAGATAACATTCGGTAAAAATTTCGCTTGCAGTAATTTCTACATGGTAAGTGCTCCGCCAATATTTGGTTTCATAGGGATTCGGATACCTTCCTCATTGAAGTAGTAAAGAAAATTCGCTTAAGTGCCTTTTTCGGTTACGTGCACAAGTTTTTCGTGCAAAGAAGGATGTGCAGCTAAGCAAAATATACTGTACATAACTGAGCCGTGTTTTTTTGAAGGTGGCAGGAGAACATTTTTTCATATATCGAGATATTTAAGGGTTTGCATCTTTATGATTTTCAAAATATTGGCAAATGCTACCCAGTGCGAGTGATGTTTTTAACTCTCTAAACCTGTTAAATTGTATTATGCAATAATTGTTACTAAAACTTGAAAAGAAAATAAACGACTTTTTAGCTCCATATACCGGTTTCAAAAATTACATGCTATCAAAAATGAAGACAAGGTGGAAATTAAGTCCTCCGTTTTGTAGACATAAGTTTATTAAGAAATAATATCATAGTCTCGCAAAAATTATTGGCCCAGACAACTTTTAAAAATATATGGACAATTTTTTATTTTAATTGTTAACTGCTATATTTTTACCATAAGTATAGTAAGGTAGAATCACTGAGAGGCACTTTTGAAATTTTTGACGTTTCAAAGCAATTTAATTTTAAAATTGACTCACAAACTCACACACACATTTTCACTTTCCATCTCAATCAACAACAATTTTGAACAATTTCATTTGTTTATTTTAAATTTTTCACAAAATTTTCAATATGATTTTAAAATGGTGGCAAACTTCACACAAAAATTATGACCGACGAATGGAGAGAACGGTTCTACCATACTATATTTTTATCTGTTATTATCAGGGAACGGATTTTATGGAAATTGCCTTTTTTTCTACTAAAGAGATAGAGTATATTCGATCAAGAATGTCCACGATTTAGCTTTCCCTGATTCCATATATACCCATTTGATGTTGCCTTTTTTTTGCCTTTTTTAAGATATTTGCCTTTTTTGCATTTTTTAAGATATTTGCCTTTTTTTGGCTGTTTTAAGATATTTGCCTTTTTTTTGCCCTTTCTACCTTTAAAAAAGTGATTATAGCATTTACAATTTTTTTTTAAAGATTAAGAAATATACACATGCCCATATTCGAAAATTAGTATGTATAGAAAAACGCAGTGTGTAAGTAGTGAATACTTAAGCAAAAATAAATTTTGTAGTTTTCATGTCACTCTGTTGCGTGCTAAAATCTATCAACACAGTTGCTGATGTGCACAACTAACAACTGTTTTACTTCAATAGAGTTTGCCAGCCCTTATTGAAACAAAAAGTTATTCAGTGTAAAAACTAAAAAGGTAATGCCGAAGTCTAAAATTACCAAGAGTTTAAAAATTCACACTCTGATTGCCGAGTTTGGTTCGGATGTATTTTGTACTGATGGGACCGTTTTATTTTGCAATATTTGTTCAGTAAAAGTTAATCACGAAAAAAAATATTATATACAGCAGCATATTAAAAGTGAAAAACATATAAAAGGATTACAAATAAAGAAAAACAAGACCCAAATGATAGCACCATTTGTGGAAAAGAATGTATTTTACGCAGATATTACTAAAATGATGATTGCATGCGGAATTCCACTTTATAAATTGAAGAGTGTGGAATTCAAATCATTCTTTGAAAAATACGTTCAGAAATCCCTTCCCGATGAATCAACTCTTAGAAAAAATTACGTGAAGGATTGTTACGAGTCCGTTTTGCAGAAAATTCGTTTAGAAATAGGAGAAAGCCCCATCTTTGTGTCCATCGATGAAAGTACAGATAAGGCAGGCCGCAGTGTAACCAACGTTATTGTTGGACCGTTGCGTGAAAGCGGACGCGGCTATCTCTTGACGGTGGAGGTGTTGGATAAGGTGAACTCATCAACAATCGCAACATTGTTTGATGATTCTATGCACATTTTATGGCCAATAGGATTCCAACGTGAAAAAGTGTTGGTATTTGTGACTGATGCAGCACCCTACATGAAGAAAAGTGCGTCATCATTGAAGCTGCTTTATCCTAATATGATTCATATCACCTGCGTCGCACATGGCGTACACCGGGTCTGCGAATCTCTACGCTCGAAGTACTCAGATGTTGACGTCTTAATTTCAAACTTAAAAAAAGTTTTCTTGAAAAGCCCATTCAGGGTGGCAGTTTTCAAAGAAATGGAACCCAATCTTCCTCTGCCTCCTCAGCCGGTATGTCAAGATAAATTGCTATTGTTGTTAATTTTAATTATAATTAATTATATGATTCCATCAAAAGAATAATTGACCAAATAACGGCCGATGCAGCATGTGTCAGTTTCTCGAAGCAATTGTTGAGCAAAAAATCGGTTCAGGGGAATTTGATATATATAAAATGCAATTTCGGTTTTCTTTTAGAGGAAAAAGTTTTCGAACGTCTACAGAAAACAGGTTGTGGAAAACCAAATTCTCAGTAAAAAATTAATAATTCACATACACTTTTTATGTAATTGTAGGAACTCCAGTTGGTGAGGTATTAAATATTTTGGATAACATTGAGAAGCGGCTTATAGAAGCGCAGGGACCTATTGCCAAATTGGTGTTGGAAAAATTCAAAGCCGTTTTCTCAGCTAACTTAGGCTTGGAGACAATAAGGGGTGTGGATAAAACTGTTAAGGGCGAGGCAAACGCCCTTATTCCTGATAATATGGACGTTTCAAACGTTCCATGTTTAAATTGGGCGCCGCTTGTATCAACTTACGTCGAGCACACATTTAGTACATTCAAGGCTTTTCTTCGCGAAAATCGAATGAAAATGCTGCCAGAAAACTTCAAAATGCATCTTGTGGTTCAATGTTACTAGAACTATACAGATTAAAGTTTTATGAGTTAGAAACTCGAAAGGATAAAATAGTCAAAGATTCAAAGTACAAATTTTTCATATAATTAAATTAGTTCATAGTTTTTCTCTTTTTACTTGTAATATAAACATTTCTAATATAAATGTATTTTTTGATTGTTCTTCGTATTTTCTGTCTTTTTTTAGTGCCTTTTCCTGCCTTTTTCGCTATTTTGTTTTGCCTTTTTTTGCCTTTTTTGCAACACCTATTGCCTATTCCTGCCTTTTTCACTATTTTATTTTGCCTTTTCCATCCTATTTCGTTATTTTATCTTGCCTTTTTTATAGGTTTTTAGGTCCTAAAAATCCGTTCCCTGTGTATGGGTAACATTCCCACGTAGTCATCTATAGTATAAAGGAAAGTCGAGATTTTTCGTACGGGGTAATCTCGATAACTACTGAATGGATTTTGACAAGATTTTCCCTAATATCCTCTGTATCAATAGTAGAGTGACCAATTTTATTTACAATTTTAATAGAGATGCCACCTGTCTAAAAAACTATAAGATCCGCACCGTACGTTGGTCTCTAGAAAATCACTAATATATAATTTTTTAATAGGGTTGCCACGTATTAAGAAATTACTATGTTCAATCCTAGTAAGCGTAGGCGTCAGTTCTGCACCGGCACTGTCAAATGAAAAGACTTAGCCTCTAGATGTGTAATAATGTATTATTTTTCTGAGTAGGGTTGCTACCTGTTTAAAACTATAAGATCTTCACCACTCGTTGGATAAAACATATATATGTATATATTTTTAAGCTATAATAATGGAAAAACATGTTAAGTAATATACGATATCTTTCTCCAAATATGTAAATGTACATACATATGCATATATTCCGCCCGTGCCGAAGCCTTGGGTGAAATCATCAGCCCTAGTATGCATGTATGTATGTTTACACTCCATTAGCATGTTCATTATGAGTTCAATAAAGTTTGCTTGGTGATAATTGTTTTATATAGCATTCCACTTACTCTCTTGATATTTCCATGCCAATAATCTGTGGCGATTGAAACAAACTATTCACCGCGAATCCAGTTAATCCCGTGCAGAATAGGAACACCCAATATAAGTTGGTTGTTAATATGGAGAATGACCGTCCCAGCGCACAGAACGCAATGCTGATGTAGTAAACAAAGCGACGTCCATAACTAAAGCAAAGTAATAGAAAAAACATGGAAGCATTGAAAATAATAGTCAACATTGTAAAGAAAATAGAAAACTTAAGTAGTTGAGGCTGCAGTTTAGCTGAGCTACATCAGCGGAAAACCCATTTTCAATTACTCGCTGGCTGATGCGCTCGACTTTTTATTTCAGTTAAATCCAGTTGGAGCCATCAACTAACCGGTCATCCGCTGTCATTGGCGGTGCCTCATGAGCAGTGCTAGCAATGGTGCAATGCGTTACTGTACTTACACGTCACCCATTTGTCCCAGCACAAATGATCCGACACCTTCTGCCACGCGTCCCACAACAAATGCGTTCGTTACATACAAACTTCTGGAGCAAACCCAGTTCTCCTTGCTCGGGATGGTGTCATCGTACCACGTTCGATCATAACTCCAGCCATTCTGGCAAGCTGAAAAATATATAAGGAAGTATGGGAAGGATGCATAAATGGTGTAGCAGAAGCCAACAATCACCAGCAAATGTATGTGAATGCGAGTGGAAGGAGAAGTGGTAAATGTGGGTGAAGTAGTGAGATGAATATGGTGAAGGATGACGGCATGCAGTCAGAGGCGTTAGACTAGTTGTCTCCACGGTATGCGCCAAGCGTCTGGGTAGCTATGTATATCTCTAGGTTTAGCTGTATGCGAGCATCTTTGACTGTTTGTTAGTTGCATTTCTCAGATTACAGCAAAATTAAGGCAAACCAATTCGATCCAAGACACTGCGTCACAAAACTAAACTTAACCAAACCAAACTAAACTGAAGCCAAAATGAAATTAAATGAATTAGAAAACCGAAGAAAAGTTTTGTCGAAGGGAGTTGAAGCGAACGTAGAATTGGATGTGGAAGTGAAAGGAAATCGCATCGCTGTTGTAAGTGAAACGCATTAAAGTGCAAAGTTGTAAAAAGTTATGCCCAAGCAAATGGAAAAGTTACTTTACATCGTCACACTCAGGCTTTCTCGTTTCTTTATTCTGCAAGTGATGTAAGGGGGCTTTAAAATGCTTCTCTCCCCCGTTACAGTGCAAAGTTGTCTTTCCTGCTCATTGATTTATTTTGCTACTGCACTTCTGCACTCGGTTTGTTGATTCTTTTTACGATATGGTGTGGCTCAGTTTTTTAGGCTATTGCCATGAATTGTAACTCTGAATATTGCAAAATAATAATAATTTGAGAACTAAAAATTTTGAACTCTTGGAGTACTTTTCATACATTTTTCCTAGCGCTAGACATTCTCCGTACGCAAGTCATTAATATGCCCAACAAAACTGGGAAGAATAAATTAAGTACGACAATAAACAATAACCGTTGAATTTCTGAAATCTTCACATTTGTATATAGATGGCTGAGGGGAAGATCAACCTATTTCGGCAGTCAGTCCGAAAATGCTCTATTTAAGAAAACTTTTCAAGAACGCCCTACTTCAGAATTTGATTTAAAAATGCCCTATCTCAGAATTTGGTTCAAAAACGCTCTATCTCAAACGAAATTACATTGAAAATGTGCTGAGATGGGCATTTTTGAACCGAACTCTGAGATAGGGCATTTTTCTACAAAATTGTAAAATAAGGCGCGACACCAGTTCCTTGAAAATTTTGTAATTTCAGCATTTTAAAGACTTTTCTTAAAAAAACCTTTAACTAACCGACAACTTTTCATTTCAAATGGGATATTAGCCATGTTCGCACAAAAGAGCTATCTTCTCACTCATTTCTTTTCCTCAAATCTATGCCATAAATTCAGAAACATGTTGTAGTTTAGTTGGTTTTTTTTTTTCAGCTAGCCTTCCAGCTAGTTGTCCGCTCTACTGGTGAATATTTTATGGTTGGCTATTTTCGCACATCGCCAGAAGTCAAACGCTTTTTCTTTTTGCAATATGGAAATTGAAAAATTTCTTGCTTTTCTCGCGCACTATAAATCAATTTGCTGAAATTGTTAGACTGTTAGATTGCCAATGTGTGAATGACTCTCAAAACCATACACATACTTCTATATGTAACTATATGGATATGAATTTACCCAGTTGGAAACCGAAACCAGAGAAATATCTTTCCAATTGCAGGCGTTTCAAGAAAGTGAAATTATTTTATTTCTTTCTCTTCTAGCATAGCTGTCATCATGACATTCGTATGTTACTATCAGCTACTAGTATACGCAGACAGAATCGAGTTATTTCTCTTCTACTTAGGCGAAAAAAGCATATGACCTTACGATGTCTCTACAGCAGCTATATTAAGGAGCGCACATTCGGCGCTGGATTTATCCTGGGAGAAAAAATTATTCGCCGAGTACTGTCGGTCACACCTTTGATCGAGCATCTCGCCGAAATCTGTATCAAATCAAGATTATTCAACATATCGCAGATTTGAGTACACGTTCCGGGGAAAGAACCATAAGCGCTTGGAAGGGATTTTTGGTTCCAACGTCGGACAATTTATTTTAAACGACAAACATCCGATAACGTTCTGTGGCTTATCGAACTCTGCGGCGCTTCCTTCGTTCGTAAAGCATGACACAAGCGACAAGCTGCATTTTATTTATTTCTCTAGCAGTGTTACAACAAGCCATAGGCATGGGCCTTATGTCACCCCTCCTTGAGGAACACCATCAGATCCGTCAATCTTTGGAAGAACCTGTCCGAGACGTTCAATGCCAATTTATTGGACGGCTTCCTATCATCCAGCTTCTTTAATTTTATGCTAAATAATATTATTATGTATATCAACCTCAGCAATCTCACCGTTTGTTCTGCCTTTTCCAAGTTGGATATTGAAGGAAATTGCAGGGCTTTGGAGGTGAATGGAGCCAAGACTAAATATTTTCTGTTATCGACACGTTTCCGTCCATCCAGCCTTGAAAGTATTGAACGTGGTATTCGCTGGTGAAATCAGAGGAAGAGGAAAGCTTCACATACAATGGAAAGACCAGGTGGAAAAGAACTTGGCTTCACTAGGCATTTCGAATTATGATCACTTGGTGTTCTTTATTGAACTCCATTAAATTCGCTTAAGCGGTTCAAGCGGAAGAAAAAATGCTCTTAAACAAATCTTGTCCCATTTGAAGACGCGTTACCAGGATAATTAAATATGGTCTGTAACTTGTACTTAAATGGTATTATTTTTACTTTTAATTCAATAACACTGAGACGATTGAGTTATCTATATCTGCTCGTTTTGTGAACTACATGAAACATTCCTAAAGGGGTTTGGAATCCAAATGCAGTCTGTTATATTTGCTATATACTATAAATATATACATACATATGTATGTCTGTTGCTAGAAGCAATTGAATTTCATAGAATAAACGCTCAGTTAGTGTAGCTTTAACTTCACTTACCGTAAGAAATAGCCAAATTACTCAACACGTCAACTTAAGCCAGATGCGAAAATATTTTGTTTTTGTATTCTCTTCATCAACTGCTTAATAATGCCGCATCAAAACCAAAACATGCGAAAAAATTTTTGCGCACATTTACTTTTAAAAACTTTAAAAACGAAAATCTGGCAAGAATCGCTTGGGTATAAAAATCTACAGGTCCGTACGTTTAATTCGAAAAGTTAAGTTTTAACTAACCGCTACCACTGTTTTTCATATTATTTACTTAGCTCAACTTAGTTTAAAGTCATATTTTGGTCAAACCGTTTGGCAGCGATTCAAGACTTAATTTACCGTAAGGAATCGTAAGAACATGTAGACTTTAGATTCTTAAATTGCGACCTTACGGAAATTGAGAGCGGTGGGAGAATCGGGCTTGCCAGATGTTCGTTTTGTATTTATAAAAATAAATGATGTGGCATTGTAGACGACGAACTGTCAATCAGCTGGAAAATGAATTACAAAAGCAAACTATTATTGAGCAATCTTTAAGGATTTCTTACGTTAAGTTACGTCTGGACTAACTAAGCTTTATATACGTAGCATAAATGTACATACGTATGAATGTAAATTAAGTTTGCAGGTATTACTCACCTGTTACATTTGACTTGGTTTTATTCCAATGCCGCCAATCGATGATTTCCGTAAAATTTGCATTATACATTTCACAGCTACTGTGTGTGCTGGTACCGCGATTATCCTTCTGCCTGTGTAAACACCATAGCAATTTATACACACATACATTTGCGTGTATGTTCATGAAATTATATAGATGTGTGGGTGTAATTGTTACCGGAAATGCAAATACAAATAAAAGGATTGAGTTTAAATTTTAATTCCTATCCTGGGAACGACTTATTAAAAATACTATAAACGCGAACAACAATACGCCTTGTTCTTCCTCAAATAATTCTGATGCGATGAGCAACTTAAATTTTTCCTTCGAAATGAAAATGTCTTAGTTCAAATAATTTCTTGTTCAAGTTATTTCTTGTTGTTTTAACTTTTTTTCATCGGTATGTTCATTTGCTCTTACCTTAATAGCATTAAAAAAATTACTTACGTTGGCAGTGTAAGACGTCGCCACTCATCCAGCGTGTAGTTGGTTAGTTCTTGGCCCGGCACGGTGCACCAGTGTTCCGGAATATCGAGCGCCAATATGATATTCATAAATACCATCGCTCCAGCGGAGGCAAAAGCCAACACGAATATCATGTTGTAAATCAATTGAAAGCGCCCATGGTTTCCGGCGCTTTCCATGATCTTCTGAAATGGATCATTCGCTTCGGACTCATCAATTTCGTCGCCATCAGCTGTTGGTAGGTTTTTGTTGACATCGCCATTTTTCTTTTCATCTGACATGGCTGGTGTGTGTGTATGTGCGTATGGGCAATTAGCTTAAATTTGCTGAAGTAGCTAACGATTATAGAGGCACAACTGCCAACTGTATTCTGAAAACATTGTTTTCATGTATTTAAGCGATAAGTCGTGCAATAAAATTTTAGTGTATTAGATTAGGTAATTGAAGTATATGATGGGAGGACTTTAATAAGTTTATTGCATTTGCATTAATTTAAGTGTTTTATTATTTGTTGTCACTTCAATCCTTACATTTTTATGTAAGCACACTGTGCAGTGATTTTATGAAGAAACTTTTATTGCTTATATATATGTACATATATGTTACCGGCCAAACCCGAACTTGGGACAAACAGGTCTTTCCTAGGCCAAACTAGTTCTACTTAGATCCGATACATCCGTTCAACACGGAAACAATATGCACGCTACAATATTGTGGAATGATTAGCTGGAGTTGGATTCGCGGCCGAAGACCGCCTATGCTGGAAGGTGTTCTGCGTAAAAATACTGTGGCGCCTGATCTAGTTTAGCTTAGGCAAAACTAGATTGTCCTAAGATCGTGTTTGGACGGTAACTTATGTTTTAAGCTCGGAACACTTTGACGACAGCAAGCGACAAGCAGCATCTGTCAAATTTTAAATACACACGTTCTTACGGACACAATTATTTTGACGACAGCACGACATCTTGGCTGCAGGACTGCAATTGTCGACGTCGCCAAATTAAATCTATTTCTAATTTTATAATAATAATAATAATTTTGCCGGCGACAATGAGTAGATGTAGTGCTGCAAAATTAAATTGTCGCAAAATTAATCACATATTCTTGATTGTTCATGTTGTTCTTATTTACTTAAATAAAAATACACAATTTGTGAAATAAATATACCAAAATGTAAAACTTTAAAATCAGCTATTTGCTATGTCGCTGAGGTCTTCAAAATGTTTAAGAAGCTGGCTTCAAGGCGACATTTGTCGACAAAATGATGTCGCTGTCGTTACGTCGTGAATTTGCAGTCGTCAAAGTGTTCCGAGCTTTACATAAATTCTAAGGCAACGCCTTATTCCCACCGAAATAGTAATTGTACAGAGACAAATTAAAAATCAAATTAAAGTGCCCGATCTGAAACTTTGAATAAATATTTTAGATTTAAGATTCATGAATTTCATTGGTATATTTACGCGTCTAGATTGAATTTTACATTGATCAAGGCATTTCTGCTACGTTAAATTCTATAGGCAACAACAATAAATAAAATAAAATAAATTAAATTTATCCCCAACTGTAGCTGATATTGTCTTAGACAAAATACTGGATGATAGTATCGCTGAACTTAGATCCAAGGGCATATATATAAAATACATAAACAAATATGTAGATGATATATTTGCCATAATTAAGAAAACGGACGTGGAGGTTATACTAAAAGAATTTAACGCACAACATACAAAAATTAAATTCACAGCGGAAGAGGAAAAAAATAAGAGATTAGCCTTCCTAGATGTTGAAATCCATCGAGATAATAATCAGATTAGAGTGAATTGGTATTCGAAAGCTGTAGCCTCATCTAGGATGATAAATTTTCATTCAAATCACCCATGGAGTCAAAAGAAAAATACTGCCATAAACTTAATTGAAAAAATTTATAGTCAGCGACCAGGAGTTCAGAAAAGAGAACAAGCAGAAAATGAAAACCATCTTATATAAAAACGGATACCCTAGCGCGCTCATAGAAAGATTCATAGCAACAACAATTAACAAACTAGAAGGAGCGAACAACAATATGAAAAATAAAAATGATAATAGAATATTTACTGGCATAACATACATACCAGGTTTAACGGACAACAAATCGCTAAGAAAATTTATACATAACGAAACAATAAGTTTTGCGCATCGACCGCATCGCACACTCAACACAGTTTTTACCAAAACAAAAGACAAAATAAACAAAGAACAACAACACAACGTCATATATGAGATTCAATGCAATGGCAAAGCTGACGAACGCTGCAGCAAGGTATACATAGGAACGACGAAGCGAGCTTTAGGAGTCAGAATCAACGAGCACAAAACAGACGCGAAAAATAGAAAGATGACAACTGCATTAGCCCAGCACCTGACAAAAAGCGAGCACACAGCGGATTTTGATAATGCAAGAATAGTAGACATCGAGAGGAAAACAAAGAAAAGGATGACATTAGAAGGGCTTCGAATACAGCAACAAATACACTGTGCAATGAATTACAAAGAAGATGTAGATAATATAAATTGCGCATACACAGCGATAATAGCGAGTAATAGACGAACAGCTGGGATAAAGTATTGATGTATTTAAATGTTAAGTGTTAATTTAAAAATGTGATGTCCATAAAATAATTAATGTGATTTTATGTTATTATATGTTAAGGTATGTTTGAAAAACATGTTTTGGTATACACGTTTGTTAATTATGTTTTCTTGTAAAAATAAATAGACTCCCTGAGGAAGACACAATAATGTGTCGAAACGCGTAGGAGGCAGAAAAGAAAAACCAACGTTTTTGCTTTAAAATCAACGGCCGAAAAGCTCCAAATATACAAATCGTAAAATAAATTAAATTTAAAACTCACTCTCGCACACACATTCTCATTTTTAATTTCAAACAACAACGATTTTGACCAATTAAGCCAGTTTTTCAATGCTCGGTACTGGTTTAAATTTAGTTTAGTTTAAACGCTCGAACTGGGTAGTTAAACCTTGCTTTAGTGGGCACGAAAAAAATATGGACGCCATATTATACATACATATGCACCATATTAAAACACCCCCCGTGGGTCCGCCACTGACTGACACATAGTTTAACTCCCAAAACCCCCGATTTTTTTTCGTGCCCAAGGTAATAAAGCATCGTTTAACATCTTTTCACTGAAGATTTGTTGAGTTATTTTAACGCACTGCTCAGTGCATTTTCTCACTAGACGACATTCGTTCAACATGCGAAGCATTCCTGGACAGACTCGATGTTATTATTCGCGCTAAAGATGTCAAAACATCATAATATGGGTATCAAATGGAAGATATTTTACAGATCCCCAATTAAAAAATATTTTTAATAGGTTGCCACAGTTCAAACTAAGATCGTAGCATTACTTAAACACATAAATACATAAACCAAAGCTATTAAAAAAAAACGAGAAAACAAGGTTATGTAATTTTTACAAGATTTTAATTCCTTAAAGTCATTGATTATACATATTTATACACACATACATTGTTCGACATATCTATCATTGGACCAAATTCAAACTGATGTGGTTTGCCACTTATGCTTATTTATTAATTTTTAAGATATTTCCAAATAACACCACAGTTCATTCCCTACGAAATACCATACAAACCTAAGCTTAAAATGTTTTAGAACACTGAAAAAAATCATCAAATTTTTATCAAAATATCAAACTTTCGGAAGTGTTTATAGCCCATACAGTTTTAGTGTAATAATGTGCAGGTTTCAAGTGGCTAAAAGTTACCGTTGATTTTTAAGAATTTTTTCGGCCGGACATGATGCGGGAGCACATAAAAGGGGAAAATTATAAGTAAAAGGGTAAATGGGGTACGAAAAATTTAGGTACTTAGGCGGGGAGGTACTTAAGAGAGGCATTTTCTTCAGATTACATTAAAATATTCACGGTGCCCAAAAATGTTGGTTACTTAAGCCGGTTAGCTACTTAAGCGGGTTTCACTGTAATATTTTTCTCTTGTGACACTACTTGATCAATATGCTTACTGTACTGCAACGAATCTTCCAAACCCTTTCAAATGTTTCGGAAACTCAATCGGATATTAATATTTCTAAGCATTATTATTACTTTGGAAACTTTAAAGATTATTCCAAAAGCACCATTGATTTAATCAGTTATACTTCATCATTTTCGCACGATTATGGTTATTTACAGGCTTATAACTAACTACATATACCGTGAATTATTTAGTGCCGTATCACTATTCCAAACATAAAAGTTGGATAATGATGCGCGTTCAACGATCGATGCACGTATAAACATTCACTGAATTATGTCGATCTAAATTGTCGTTTTATTTTAGGTTGGATTACATTTCATCTAATGAAGATTCTACCGATATTTGATGTTGGTTTGTTAAATGCTGAAGTTAATCTGACATGAAAATATAAGACTGCCAAGAATTAAAATCAAGTTATCACGACATGGTAATGTAATTATGGTGATAAAACAAAATCATTTGCTTGATAGGCTACATATGTCTGTACAAATGTTGATTACTTTACTATCGCAGCATGATAACAGTAACATGTTTACCTATCAGTTTGGCCACATGCATATACATATATGTACTGTATACCTATATGGCGATACATAGACAATGCTTACTGGTTCCACTGCCCGCTACAATTGTATTTATAATCAGAAGTAATTAAAAATAGGTATCAAAACAAAGCGATTCACGTGCTTGGTGTCAGAAGAGAGCGTAGGAGAGAGCGGAGTACACATTATGGAAGCATTCAGTATGCGGTTTACAATGTGGATTAACTTGAGGAGACGGCTACCATAAACGGAGATAACTAATCAACAGGAATAAACAAATCCCATTTGAACAAGGAAATATGTATAAGTTCGGGCGAAACCGCACAAGTCAATCAGATTATTTTTACCTTCCTTTTATTAGCTCGGGATGTAACTATGTAATATTGATGCGCCTAAAAGATGCAGCGATTTCTATTCTCAAGTTACATACCTAATTACAGTACGAATGGCAATATTAATCGGGAGGTTTTAGGTTTTTAAGCTATAATTTTATTATGTTGCAAAAAAGAGACTGCTAGGCAAACGAAGTTTTTATATCCTTCTGCCCGAGTGCGATCGGGTATAACAAATAGAAAATGTTGTAGAGGTAGCGTAGGGTTGCATATACACGTGTGTGAATAGGGCTTAGGGTTTATACGCGTAGGGCGTGAGTAGGCCTTAGGCGTTACACATGTCGTATGCTAAGTACCTAGACCTTAAGATTATTTATAATCCTAGCGAGTAAGAGGAATAGCTGTAACCCTAGCGAGTAAGTACCGCTTGTTAT